GGCATACACAGTGTTGTATTATGGCAACCTGGCATACACAGTGTTGTATTATGGCAACCTGGCATACACAGTGTTGTATTATGGCAACCTGGCATACACAGTGTTATGGCAACTTGGCATACACAGTGTTGTATTATGGCGACCTGGCATACACAGTGTTGTATTATGGCAACCTGGCATACACAGTGTTGTATTATGGCAACCTGGCATACACAGTGTTGAATTATGGCAATCTGGCATACACAGGATTGTATTATGGCAAGTGGCAAATATGCATCAACGTTTTACATGGAGGAAATGACCGGCCAGCATTAACGAGAGCAAGTGAATGCTCAAGCAGCAATTACATCATTATTATTAACGAGGCGCTAACGGCCGCTTGTATCATAATTCCCACCTAAGTTATTGATGACCGTTGCTTATTAGGTTATTATCTCAGCAGGCATGACGGCTAACTGTCCCGTAATTAATTAAATATTATTATTATTGTCTACTGAATTATGAAACATAACCCAGGCTCATTGTGTCCATGTGTTCTCAGGCTAGATGAGCGCCGCCTGAGGACGGGTTGGGGTTCGAGGCCGCGGGCAGGTTCACAGTGCATACGCAAAGGTATGAAATATGAGCTATTTTATTGGGTAAGAGGTCGGGGTTCGATCCCCGAGGGCCCAAGTGCTTGGATTCAATTCCTTTCGTCCTATGCTATCTCCTTGTTCTCATATCCCAGCTCCTTGTACCCATATCCCAGTTCCTTGTCCTCATATCCCAACTCCTTGTCCTCATATCCCAGTTCCTTGTCCTCATATCCCAGCTCCTTGGTCTCATATCTCAGCTCCTTGTACCCATAGCCCAGCTCTTTGTCTTCATATCCCAGATCTTTGTCCTCATATCCCAGGTCCTTGTCCTCATACCCCAGGTCCTTGTCCTCATATCCCAGCTCCTTGTCCACATATCAATCATTTCATTGCAAACAGTCAAACCATTGTCATCCCCTCCAGCTGTATTTTAACCCTTATAAACACCAAGTCCGTCACTTTTCAACATTTAAATCGGACCTGCAGGTCAGGCCACCAACACTACACTGAAAAAACATACATCACTCCTCTGCAACAAACAGGAAACCCCATGGTCGGCAGATCTCGTGTGATCATCTCGCCAAAAAGGACGCTCACTGGATATCCACAACCCCGTAAGCCCTGAAGAATGACTCCGGCGCCCACAGGCCATCGACCCTGAACCATGGGACCGCCGGTCACTGCCCTCCTTCGGGATGGTGGGGATAGGTGCGAGATGGGAATATGGGGGGGATAGGGAGGAATGGAGTTGCGAAGTGACGGTAGGATAGATGGGGGGATTGGGGGTGGGGGTGAGGCTTCAGCTCTTCCGGTAATCGTTGCAACTATCCACTCTGTTATTAACTTGCTACAAGCCTGGACTATCCTTCACTAGCCTCTGTGTTCCTCTCTTGTTATTATGTTCAATTATATATTCAATTTAATAATCATCGCCTCTTTTATTATCCTCTAGTAACTAGAGAGCGGTTGTTGTGATGTTGTGTGTACTCGCCTAGTTGTGCTTGCGGGGGTTGAGCTTTGGCTCTTTGGTCCCGCCTCTCAACTGTCAATCAACTGGTGTACAGATTCCTGAGCCTACTGGGCTCTATCATGCCGAGTCTATATGTTTGTCCCAGTCTGTCCACCCAGCGCCTGACATCTGGGTGGACAGCGCTTCGGATTCGTAGTCCTGAGGTTCTGGGTTCGATCCCCGGTGGAGGCGGAGACAAATGAGCAAAATGTTTCTTTCACCCTGATGCCCCTGTTACCTAGCAGTAAATAGGTACCCGGGAGCTAGACAGCTGCTACGGGCTGCTTCCTTGGGGTGGAGGCCTGGTCGAGGACCGGGCCGCGGGGAAACTAAGCCCCGAAATCATCTCAAGATTACCTCAAGACTGTGTGTGCGTGTTCTCTTGTTTGTGCTTGTTCGGTTGTGCTTCAGCTCTTGAATCCCGGCTTTCCAGCCGTAAGGTGGATAATGTATTGACTCGTGACTACATATATTAGATCCGTGTGTGCTCTAGTGAACGCCTTCAGCCCGACCTCATGATGGAGCAGCCTGTTGTGTCAAGCAATAGGTTGCATTTTTAGGATATAAATCCAGACTAATTAGAAAAGTAACAGTTCGCAGATATCTTCATTTTTTATGCTAGGTAAATGTTCCCTACGAGACCTTCCTCCTTTTCTGACTGAAGAATCTATCTTCCCTTCATCCTATAGTGTTGTTCTACTCTTCGCACTCCTGCTGCGATCCTTATAACTTTGCATTTGGCTGGGTTAAACTCTAGCAGCCATTTTTTTTTAGATCACTTCTGGAATGACTGAATGTGTGTGTGTGTGTGTGTCTGGGGTGACTAGCTAGAAAGGTTTCACATTTCATGACCCCAGTTCGACGAGGCGTCTTACAAATTTGACTTCCGCTGGAAGCTGATGGACTTTTCCAAGAAGCGTCGACTTCTTTACCTTCCAGGAGATGAAATATTAAACTGCTAAAGACTTTCCAGTAGTTTGGTCGTCCTTTAACGAGTTACCGAGACGCAGAGAGCGAGAACTATGCCCTGAATTATGGAACCTCTAGATGCATACTTTGACATACACAGTAATCACAATAGTTAGAGAATTATAGTGGCAAACGAGGCTTAATTAAGAAGGGGATCGGATCTTGGAGAAACGACGAAGTGGAATCGAATTCTCTTGATCAACAACTTGCAACAATCCACGACCAATTTTACCCCCAACATGTCTATGTAGGACAGACGAAACTATATATATATACAGGCTGGCAACTGTTGCATACTGGTAGGGCCACGTCTGTGGTAGAAAAATAAAAGTTCAAAACTTTATACAGGCTGTGTCGTTGACCAATGAACTTTTTACTAGGAAAATCACAATAGCCTGATACATCAAATTAACAAAATTGTTTTAACCATGTTGTAGCACAGTCGATTAAGGCGCGTCTGGGATCCTCTCGGACGTAGGTTCGAACCCTCATGACGGCCCTTGTGGATTTGTTCATACTTTGACTTTTAAACTATTCTTGTCCCAAATCACTATAAACACTATAGTTGATCCTTAAAGGGTAGTTAAATCTAGTTTCAAAGGACTATGGCCTCTTGGGAGTCTTACCCATCTGGTGCGTGTAAATGAGGGTACTAGGAGCCTCGAACCCCTACCAACTGCGCTACTGGGCTTGTCTTAAAAGGGAAGAATCCCAAGGCAACTAACTGCTACCCAATGGAAATTCCCATTTCCAAGGCTGCCACTTGAGCACATGAGAGTCAGGTGCTAGAGAGAGTTAGAGCAGTGAGGTATGTTCAGTGAGGTATAGCAGTGAGGTATGTTCAGTGAGGTATGGGTAGTGAGGTATGGATAGTGAGGTATGGGTAGTGAGGTACGGATAGTGAGGTGTCCGTAGTGAGGTATAGGTAGTGAGGTATGGGTAGTGAGGTGTCCGTAGTGAGGTATAGGTAGTGAGGTATGGGTAGTGAGGTGTCCGTAGTGAGGTATAGGTAGTGAGGTATGGGTAGTGAGGTGTCCGTAGTGAGGTATAGGTAATGAGGTATGGATAGTGAGGTATGGATAGTGAGGTATGGATAGTGAGGTATGGATAGTGAGGTATGGATAGTGAGGTATGGGTAGTGAGGTATGGATAGTGAGGTATTGGTAGTGAGGTATGGGTAGTGAGGTGTCCGTAGTGAGGTATAGGTAGTGAGGTATGGGTAGTGAGGTGTCCGTAGTGAGGTATAGGTAATGAGGTATGGATAGTGAGGTATGGATAGTGAGGTATGGATAGTGAGGTATGGATAGTGAGGTATGGATAGTGAGGTATGGGTAGTGAGGTATGGATAGTGAGGTATGGGTAGTGAGGTATGGATAGTGAGGTATGGATAGTGAGGTATGGATAGTGAGGTATGGGTAGTGAGGTATGGATAGTGAGGTATGGGTAGTGAGGTATGGGTAGTGAGGTATGGGTAGTGAGGTATGGGTAGTGAGGTATGGATAGTGAGGTATGGGTAGTGAGGTATGGGTAGTGAGGTATGGGTAGTGAGGTATGGGTAGTGAGGTATGGATAGTGAGGTATGGGTAGTGAGGTGTCCGTAGTGAGGTGTCCGTAGTGAGGTGTCCGTAGTGAGGTGTCCGTAGTGAGGTGTCCGTAGTGAGGTGTCCGTAGTGAGGTGTCCGTAGTGAGGTGTCCGTAGTGAGGTGTCCGTAGTGAGGTGTCCGTAGTGAGGTGTCCGTAGTGAGGTATGGGTAGTGAGGTGGAGGTCTACAATTTCACGTGGTCCAGTGTGAAGTTAGACGCTGACCGGTGGAAAACACTTCATTATTAATCAATTTTAACGTGATATTATATTTGACGAAGGCATTCAAACAGCAACAGATTATTACAGATCAAAGTAGTCAGACTGTCTCTATAAATTCATCAAATGTGCAAATTAATCTCCTTCCAGATTAATAAACACATTGATCCTCATTCTGTGACCGGTTATACACGGAGTAACATTACTCTGTAAGAAGAGACTTTTCTTACACTCTCAATAGGAGTGAGATTAAGTATCAACAGGAGCTGCCTAGTATGGATCAATTGACCTTCTGGAGTTACTTTTGCCCTAATCTTCGAATCTTCGCAGGAGCGTTCAGCTCTAATCTGCTGCGTCACAAAACTGCGCGCAGGTTTTAAGTATATGATCTGAGAGCGAGTGTGAAATTAGGTCCCTAATCGCTTTATTCATGTGAATTTGATTAATGATACGATTGTGCACCACCCAGCGTCTCCGCTGTCATTAGCCGCAGGTCCTCTGGGATCTCTCCACGCGGTCCAAATAACACCGCCTGTCCGGGTGATACTGTGACAAATTTTAGTGTGCAAAATGACGAGTCTAAACTGCAGGAGGCGTAGTTGGTTTGTTGGTGAGGCTCTGCCACAGGCCAGGTTATCATTTGCAGGTTGGCCAAGCCTCCTACAAGTCAGGCTATCATCTGCAGGTTGGCCAAGCCTCCTACAAGCCAGGTTATCATTTGCAGGTTGGCCAAGCTTCTTACAAGTCAGGCTATCACCTGCAGGTTGGCCAAGCCTCCTACAAGTCAGGCTATCACCTGCAGGTTGGCCAAGCCTCCTACAAGTCAGGCTATCATCTGCAGGTTGGCCAAGCCTCCTACAAGTCAGGCTATCACCTGCAGGTTGGCCAAGCCTCCTACAAGTCGGGCTATCACCTGCAGGTTGGCCAAGCCTCCTACAAGTCAGGCTATCACCTGCAGGTTGGCCAAGCCTCCTACAAGTCAGGCTATCACCTGCAGGTTGGCCAAGCCTCCTACAAGTCAGGCTATCATCTGCAGGTTGGCCAAGCCTCCTACAAGTCAGGCTATCACCTGCAGGTTGGCCAAGCCTCCTACAAGTCAGGCTATCACCTGCAGGTTGGCCAAGCCTCCTACAAGTCAGGCTATCATCTGCAGGTTGGCCAAGCCTCCTACAAGTCAGGCTATCATCTGCAGGTTGGCCAAGCCTCCTACAAGTCAGGCTATCACTTACAAGCCAATCAAGCCCTACCACAGGCCTGGCTATATAGCTAACATCTCTGATTTGATGTTGGGACTCACTCGAGGCTTCTCTACCACTCAACTGGACCTGTACTCAACATTTACTATGTAATGCAACATTTCTGCAACATATGCGATGCCATCGTAACTTGAGCTGGTAAAATTACTTCACTCACCTTCAGTGGTCTAGTGATCCTGTCCTGACAGTGTGGAACATACGAAATTATGTACGTAAGCTGCTTAGTACTGTAATTTGCCCTTGTAAAAGTACTTTAATCACATTATGTGGTTAAGTGCTTATCATCCCATTGCTCTATAAAGTTGCACAGATCTGCAATACCGTCCATGTTGCACAGACGAAGTTGTAAGCATGACTTTTGTCTTTGTTGATGAATGACCTCGTCTGTGGTAGGGAAGGGAAGGGAACTATGAGGGGGAAAGCGCCAAGCCATTACGACTATATAGTACTGGGAAGGGGTCAGGATAAGAATTTGGGATGGAACGGGGAGGAAGGAATGGTACCCAACCACTTGGACGGTCGGGGGATTGATCGTTGACCCACATGAAGGGAGACCGTCGCTCTACCGTCCAGCCCAAGTGGTTGGGCTCTGTGACAGGGGATAAGAAAGGTTAAACCAAAAGTATAGTTTAGTCCTGAACAAGGTTTAAATGCAAGGTTTACCTGTTGGTTTACTCTGAGAGGTGGAGTAAAACAGGCAGGGATGGATATACCAAGAGGTATACTCAGCTTCTCGGTGTATATACACTAAGAGTTTACCTTAGTCCTGAACAAGCCAGGACTAAGTATACTTATTCCTGAAGCTAGTATACTTCAGGGATTAAGTATAGTTGCTAGTTGGTCAGTCGTGGTGGCCTTAACACCCCTGTAGTAGTTGATATACCTAAAGCCCAACATATTATATATATATATATATATATATATATATATATATATATATATATATATATATATATATATATATATATATATATATATATATATATATATATATATATATCATCCTTGCACGAAATACGTCGTATTTCGTACGGAATCGAACATTACGCTAAGACTGTGAGTATTATTACGAAAATAAAAGCCCCGCAATATTACCGTTTTCTATGTATCGACAGCAATAAATTAGGGGGGAGAGGGGGGGGGGGTCTTCGTAGAGCCAGAGGATTCCGGTTGGATAAAACAGTTGTATTATTTACGGAGTGGCAAACACCTCGTAATACAGACGAACTGCTTGCCCCGTTATCTTGAGGTTATCTTGAGATGATATCGGGGCTTTAGTGTCCCCGCGGCCCGGTCCTCGACCAGGCCTCCACCCCCCAGGAAGCAGCCCATGACAGCTGACTAACACCCAGGTTCCTATTTTACTGCTAGGTAACAGGGGGCATAGGGTGAAAGAAACTCTGCCCATTGTTTCTCACCGGCGCCCGGGATCGAACCCGGGACCACAGGATCACAAGTCCAGCGTGCTGTCCGCTCGGCCGACCGGCTCCCGTTACGGGTTAGAACGAAGAAATCTGCGGCCCGTGCGTTGTCAACTGGATTTTTTTTTAATCGAACTCAAGGGACTAAAAAAAAAAAGAAGCAAGAATTGCATCATCCAGATAATCAAACTCCATGATTGTGTTCCTGATGCCGTGACCATCATCATCATTTCGTTCATTGTGTTCGGACGTGTTCTAGCTGAAGGTCCGGACGTGTTCTAGCTGAAGGTTGGGACGTGTTCAAGCTGAAGGTTGGGACGTGTTCTAGCTGAAGGTTGGGACGTGTTCTAGCTGAAGGTTGGGACGTGTTCTAGCTGAAGGTTGGGACGTGTTCTAGCTGAAGGTTCGGACGTGTTCTAGCTGAAGGTTGGGACGTGTTCTAGCTGAAGGTTGGGACGTGTTCTAGCTGAAGGTCCGGACGTGTTCTAGCTGAAGGTTGGGACGTGTTCTAGCTGAAGGTTGGGACGTGTTCTAGCTGAAGGTTCGGACGTGTTCTAGCTGAAGGTCCGGACGTGTTCTAGCTGAAGGTTGGGACGTGTTCTAGCTGAAGGTTCGGACGTGTTCTAGCTGAAGGTTCGAACGTGTTCTAGCTGAAGGTTCGTGCGTGTTATAGCTTGTTCACTGTCTTCACTAGTTCTACCTTGTTCACTGTGTTCACTAGAGTTCTACCTTGTTCACTGTGTTCACTAGTTCTCCCTTGTTCACTGCGTTCACTAAAGGTCTACCCTGTTCACTGTGGTTATGCATTGTGTGGAGCCACTATGTATGGCATAGCCTCCACCATACCTCCTTCGATCGTTGATGAGGGTAATTAATGTCGTAACTTTCACTGTCTTGGTGATTCTTGGTGATTCAGGATGGCGTTGTGGCAGTGGGAATGATGTTGCTTAATACCTCCGTCTTGCAAATTAAGTGTAAGACGTCTACTCAATGTATCAATGGTACGTCCAATACAGCATATACTTCGGAGCGAGTAGTCTCCAGGGTCCCTTATTTCAAACGTGGGTTGGACATGTATATGAGTGGGATTGGGTGGTTATAATTAGGAGCTGCCTCGTATGGGCCAAAAGGTCTTTCGCAGGTACATTTATTCTATGGTCTTATGTCTGCAGATCTGTATTTGTATCGCTACACTACATTGGTGCAATTTAGTTTGTCAGAGGAGGCGGCGATGTTATTTCTCATAATGAGGGGAAGATGTACGAGGTTTGTTATTATAAATGATAGAATGAATGTTTGAGTTTTCACTGTAAAGTTTGCCATTCCTGTTAATTATGTCTCGTATCACATTCTCATCCTTCTTGTATGAGTGGTTGTATTTGTATAATACACCACAATGTCTTCTCTTGGAGGGCCTATTTTCCAGCCCTGAGGCCTGCTGGCTCTACCACTAAGGAGATGGGATGTGAGGACGGAGCAAAACCAAATATCCATAAATACCTAAAAATATGTTTTGAGATTTGTTTTCACATTTCAAGCTAATTTAAAACCACCTAAAATATTAACATAAATTTATCGCTTCCATAATATTTGTAAAAGACTAAACGTTTTGCATCAAGAATGATAACATTCTCTACGATATTTTTCCAATGTTCTGTGGCTATAAAGTATATTAGTTGCATACTAAAACAGACATTTAGAGCGGAATAAACAGTGTTTACGACTGCAGGCATGTTAGTGGTTGCTTTTTCCCGCGCAAAGTATCAGCTGATCTGCATTTACCGCGCAAAGTACCAGCTGATCCTCTAGACTGCTCATTTCGGCGGGAAATAGCCTCACATTCCGACATAAGTTGATGATGAAAAGTCGTAATGCTTTTATTCAGGACTTCTGTTTTTATCGAGAGTTCATGGATCACCGCGACAGCTAACAGGATGAATCATAAAGCGATGCAATCATGAATCCCAGACACTGATACTCAATTGAATCTCACCGGCCGACTTTGAGTCAAATGATCACGTCAAGATAGCATGATTAAACATACGAAGAGGACCACAGAGCACACTTATTCTAACTAATTTTCCTCTTAGTGAGATGAAAGAATTCACTCAAGGACACCACCGGGTCGCCGGGCCCTAATCAAGAAGCGATCAGAACCTATAGCCTCCTTCTCCTCCCTTAATTCTTCGTCCTCTGCGCTGTAAATTGCTCGCCTGCGGCCAGCAAGGATGCCCACTGGGACATCCTGAACGATTGGCGTTACAGTCGCCATGAAGGAATTCAACTTGCGGTTATGTAACATGACCTCAATACCCGTACGAGCAATTGAATTCTAAATCACGCGGAAATATTCCTTTGTTGTCTGTCTGTGGTACAGCCGCCACTGATGACGGATAATCAACCGAGTCATGGTCGTCATGGTGACTTGTGTGGCAAATTATTGTCATCTGACGACAGTTAGTGGCCATCTGCGTATAGTTAGAGCAATCTGTGGATAATCAGGGCCATCTATGGACTTGTTTGAGCCATAGTTAAAGCCAGCTATGGGCAGTTAGGGGATAGCTAAGGGCAGTTAAGGCCATAATTAGGCAGTTAAGGTGGATAATTAGTGAAATTTGTGTCATCTGAAGAGAGTTATGGCCCTCTAAAGACAATTAGGGCCATTTGAAGCCATTCTCTCCGGCAACAACCCCGTCCCCATCAACCCCTCTATTCTGTCCCCCATCAATTCACCAATTCTTACCCCCCAACAACACCACCATTCCCTCCCCATCAAACTCCACCATTCCCTCCCCATCAAACCCCACCATTCCCTCCCCCCATCAACCCCACCATTCCCTTCCCCCATCAAACCCCACCATTCCCTCCCCCATCAAACCCCACCATTCCCTCCCCCATCAAACCCCACCATTCCCTCCCCCCCATCAAACCCCACCAGTCCCTCCCCCCATCATACCCCACCATTCCCTCCCCCATCAACCCCACCATTCCCTCCCCCCATCAAACCCCACCAGTCCCTCCCCCCATCATACCCCACCATTCCCTCCCCCATCAAACCCCACCATTCCCTCCCCCATCAAACCCCACCATTCCCTCCCCCCATTAAACCCCACCAGTCCCTCCCCCCATCATACCCCACCATTCCCTCCCCCATCAAACCCCACCATTCCCTCCCCCATCAAACCCCACCATTCCCCCCCCATCAAACCCCACCATTCCCCCCCATCAAACCCCACCATTCCCTCCCTCATCAAACCCCACCATTCCATCCCCCATCAAACCCCACCATTCCCTTCCCCCATCAAACCCCACCATTCCCTTCCCCCATCAAACCCCACCATTCCCTTCCCCCATCAAGCCCCACCATTCCCTCCCCCATCAAACCCCACCATTCCAGCCCCATCAAACCCCACCATTCCCCCCCATCAAACCCCACCATTCCCTCCCCCATCAAACCCCACCATTCCCTCCCCCATCAAACCCCACCATTCCCCCCCATCAAACCCCACCATTCCCTCCCCCATCAAACCCCACCATTCCCTTCCCCCATCAAACCCCACCATTCCCTCCCCCATCAAACCCCACCATTTCCTCCCCCCATCAAACCCCACCATTCCCTTCCCCCATCATACCCCACCATTTCCTCCCCCCATCAAACCCCACCATTCCCTT